CATGACAAATCCGTTCGAAAAAGTAAAAGCTTCCATAAGTTGCGAAATAAGAAGGCCAACAATATTGTCCGGCACTAAATCACTCCCCTAGCGGGAAAGTGCTAGGACATTGAAGACCTGGGTTCTAACCCAGGCTCCTCTCCTCTTACCCCGAATTTCCTTAGGTCAAAAAAAAAAGAAAAAGAAAAAAGAGAAGGGCAACAAAATTCAGTTCAAAAAAAGAAAAAGAAAAAAAAAAAAGGGCAACAATATTCTGGCGTGGTGGCAACAAGCCTTAATTATAGCCAGGGCATTCGGTCATGAAAGGAGTATCACTCTTACACCTGATTGCACCCAAGTCCGTAAAATTGAGAAAAGCAATGGGGCATTAATTGTTAGTGTACAAATTAGTCAACAAGATCGTTTGTTTCAAAGCAGCTATGGTTTTAGCCAACTCCTAAACTACTTTAATGACAACTTCTTTTATGAAAGGAGTATCACTTATATATATATATATTTGATAAGAACAATAATTAAAAATTAATATATTAAAAATGTTAATAAAAAACATTAAACTTGAAACTTCTAAATACAAATTACAAATAACCTATCCTTTCAGGTCAAGTGGCTCTAACTACGCTTGTAAAGTTTATATTTTCTTTTTTTAGGGCAACGGTTCGAGTCGATGCCATGATAAAATATTCAAAAAAAATAAAAAACAAATTACAAACTATTTTTTGAGACAGTAAATGATCATTGAACCACACATGAAACGCTATCACTCTTATACGTAATTGCACCCAAGTACGTAAAATTGAGAAAAGCAATAGGGCATTAATTGTTAGTGTACAAATTAGTCAACAAGATCGTTTGTTTCAGAGCAGCTATGATTTTAGCCAACTCCTAACCTACTTTAATGACAACTTCTTTTATGAAAAGTAAGAGGTTTGAGCAAGATTATTAAGGTCTTATTGTGACAGTTGATGCTGTCACAATGTATCAATTTCATATCTGTTTAATATAACAGTTTAGAAATAATAATTAATAGTTTTATTTAAATTATTAAAAATAATATTCAATAAATTTATTTGTTTTAAAATTATTATAAATTAAATATTTAATAAAACTTTTCATTTAACGATTTATAATTAACGGATAACGATTAGAGACTAAAACACTAATGGGTTGAAAAAACTACCTTAAGTAACTTTTTATACAAAATTGTTAATCAATTGAAATTTTTAATTTTATTAATAAATTTATCCTTTTTAATTCTTAAACTTTTAACTACAGTTTTTAATTGGTATTTGTTTAATTAGTTTTATTTTATTTTTTATCTTTAATAATATTAAATTATTATTATATTTTTATTTTTAAATGAATTTATCATAAAAACGATATTAACTTAATGAACAAAATTTACTAATTAAAAGAAAAGATTAAATTTTTTTTTGTGTTTTGTTTAAAACTAATATAATTTTTCTTTATTAAAAATAAAAATTTATTTATGTTACACTATTATAATTTATTTATTTATTTATTATTTTTTTATAAAAATTAATAATATTAATAATGAAAAATATAAAAATACACTCAATTATTGTTAAACATGTCTTTATCAGTAATTTAATTTTAAATAATAATTGTTAATTATTATATAACTAAATA